CCCGGCCCCCAGCACCATCCGGCCGCCTGGGCAGCTTCGCTTAGTCACGCTGGTGCCCACCCGCTCACGGCCGGCCCCGGGGGAGGGAAGCGGGCAGCCTCCTGCCCCGCACGTGACCCTGGGTCCCTGCAAGAGAGGGGGTTCTGTTGCTCCCAGATGCGGCCAGGGCACCCAGCTGACCTCTGTCCCTCTCTGTGCCGTCTTTGTCCTTCCAAGTGATTCCTGCTCGCTGGTGCCTTAGGGGGTCATGAATGGAGGAGACGATTCCTCCTCGGAGATCTGCAGAAGCGGGTGGTCGGGCCAGAGAGGGACATGGGGGCTTGGGCCAGGCTGGACATGGGATTCCTGCGGCTGAGCAGGAGCGGGTTTGGGGGCGCCTGGGAACCAGGGTTCAGGCTGTGCCCACCTGCTCTGGGGCGGATGAAGGTGTGCAGGGCCTGCAGGTCGGACTGCTGGACACGAGGAGTGGACAGACTTCACTCCCCACCCCACCCCCGCCCAGGAGTTCTCCCTCCGGACCCTGCCTGACGCCCCCTGCAGCCCTGCTTCCTTCCTCCCTAGAGACACCCACATGGTCCACCCGGGGGGCGGGGGAGCTGTGGGCGCCCCCTCCCTGCTGGGGCTCCTCCTCATGGCCCTGAAAGCACACTCAGCACTGAGTGCTAGTCCTGCGCGGCCAGGGGTATCGCCAGGAATGACCCCCATAGCACAGGAGTGGAATCGGGGTCTGGCAGTGTTGGGGTGACGGGAGCGTCTGTAGCCGTTTAACAGCCTTTCAGAACAGGCTGGCGGATTGCTGGGGGGCTGCAGGCACACGGCAGCCCTACCTCACGTGGACAGAAAGGGCGGAGAAGCGTCACCGGGGTGTTCGAGGGCAGTGAGGTGGCGGGGGCATGGGGGGCTTCACACACGGGGCACAGAGTCCTCATCTACCTGGGTCAGCTGCTCCCGGGCCCATAGAGCCAAAAGAACATAGCTAAGTGGCAGGGTGTTGGGGACCCTCACCCCCTAACGACAGGCCATGGCCGGTGTGCTATAGCTTGTTTACTGGGTGGGGGCGGGTCACACAGAGCTGTGCTTGGGACTTACTCCTGGCTCTGTGCTTAGGGATGGCGCCTGCATTAGCTCTTCTGACTCTGTTTTTTTTTTTTTTTTTTGCTTTTTGGGTCACACCCAGCAATGCACAGGAGTTACTCCTGGCTCTGCACTCAAGAATTACCCCTGGCAGTGCTCAGGGGACCATATGGGATGCTGGGAATCGAACCTGGGTCGGCCGCGTGCAAGGCAAACGCCCTACCTGCTAAGCTATCGCTCCAGCCCCCTGACCCTGTTTTAACTTTCCTTTCTGTTGCTTTCTGGCTGGGACCACACCAGCCGCGCCTACTTCCGGCTCTGTGCGCAGGGATCACTCCTGGTGGTGCTCAGGGGACCCTATGGGGTGACAGGGACTGAACTGAGGTTGGGCGCGTGCAGGAAGTGCTTTAACCCTTGTGCTAACTCTCTTAGCCCCCTGCTTCAGCATTCTAAATTCCAGGCAATCCTTTTAAGTTTGGGGGAGAAAAGTAAGAGGCTCAAGTTTGCAAAAAGCTTTGTCTCCCCCCTCCCCCCTCCCCCAACCCCAGTCTCTTGGCACCATGTGGTTCCTTCCCTGAGCAGCACCAGGAATGACCTTTGAGTGCTGAGTCATTGCCTAGAGAAAAACAAGTCCTCCAAGTACTAGAAGGAGTCTCTCTCCTGGGGTCTCTATACTGGCTCCTTCTGGTAGACTTATGGGGCAGTCATTCCCAGTGACTTTTAAAAAGCCACTTTGTTGAAGTACCAAGATCCCAATACTCTTAATCGTCCTTCTCAGGCAGGCATCGTCCTTGCTTCACCCCCATCAGCTGCTTCCTGCCACCAGCATCCGGAAGATCCTGCCCGGCACTGCCCACCTAGGGAAGCTCACTTCCGTAGACAGAGTCTCCACATTTCCAGTAGTTTTTATTCTGTTGTTCTTTTTTCGGGGAGGGGGTCTCAGCCAGTGGTGTTCCAGGCTTACTCCTAGCTCTGGGCCCAGGAATCACTCCTGCCAGGCTCAGGGGACCATATGGGATGCCAGGAATGGAACCCAGGTCGGCTGTATGCAAGGCAAGTCCCCTCCCCACCATGCTATGGCTCCAGCCCCTGTTCTGTGTCCAGCCAGGATGCTGCTGGCTGACTAGTCCACCTGGACCCCAACCTCCCCATTCTTTCTTCTCTTTCCTTTGTTTAGTTTTTGGCCCACATCCAGCGTCCTCGGGAATCACTCCTGGTGGTGCTCAGGGACCACGTACACCCGTGTGCTGAGCACTGTCGGAGTCCCTCCAGGAGCCCCACGCTGTGGCGGAGGGGTAGCACGGGCCCTGGCAGGGGCAACGGGCAGAAGAGAGAATCCACACAGGGTGGATGGACAAATGGACAGACGGACACAGCAGTGAGTGCCTGAGTTGGCCTTAGGGTGGCCCACAGGCCTGGGCGTGGTTGCCGCAGCCCATCTGGTGTGCCCCCAGATGACAAACGTGAAACTAGTCTGGGTGGGGGACAGTTCTCGGGCCCCAGACTACCCAGAGTTGAGAGGGACGGTTGGTGGGGCCGGGGCTCAGGCTGCTGGACACCTGCTCTGTGTGTGTGTGTGCGCACACACACTGAGTGCTATGAATGTGCACTGTGTGTGGGTACATCTGGTGGAGTGTGATGCACCTGTTGTGCATGTTGGGGTGTGATGTGTGCTGTGTGGTGGTGTGGTGTGTGTGTGTGTAAACGTGCATGTGGGAATGTGTTGATGTGTGTTACGTGTATATGGTGCAATGTGTGCCTGGTGTGTATATGCTAAGTGTGGTGTGTGTATGGTGTATGTTGGTGTATGTGGTCTGTTGTGTGTCTGATGTATAGTGTGAATAAGTGTGTGTGCATGTGCGTCTATGTGCATGATTGTGCCTGTGTGTGTGCATCTGTGTGCATGTGTGCGTCTGTGTGCATGTGTGTCTGTGTGCATGTGTGTCCGTGTGCACGAGTGTGTCAGTGTGCATGTGTGTGTTTGTGTGCATGTGTGTGTCTGTGTGCATGGATGTGTCGGTGAGCATGGGTGTGTCAGTGTGCACGTGTGTGTCTGTGTGCACGTGTCTGTGTGCATGTGTGTCTGTGTGCATGGGTGTCTGTGTGCATGTGTGTGTCTGTATGCTTGTGTGTGTCTGTGTGCCAAGTGGGTCTGTGAGCCAAGTGGGTCTGTGTGTACAAGCGTGCATGTGTGCAGGAGGGTGATATGAATATGTGTGCACATGCATGTGTGTGCACCAGAGTCAGCGTGGGAAAGACTGGGGCCCACGGTCTCTTTAGAAGTTGTGACTGAAGGGAAAGTTTCATTCTGCTTCTGATAAAAGACGCAACTGTTTCTTTTCTTCCCGCTTCTCCGTTGGTTGCCCTACTGGGACCAAACTCCCTCAGGACAATCTCCCAGCCCCACAATCTCCTGGCTCCCAGAACACTTTCCCAACCCCGGGACAATCTCCAATCCCCACAGGACAATCTCCAGTCCCCAGAGGACAATCTCTGGCTCCCACAGGACAATCTCCCTCTGGGCGCATAAATGGAAACTGTTGAAGTTGCTCTCGCAGCCCCAGGCAGCCTGGAGCTCTGAAGGTCAGCTCTAGGCTGCTCTTGGCTCAGGCTGAATAGGAGAGAGTGTGGCTCTCAGCGATGAAGTGGTGTTGGCAGCACCTGGAGGCGGAAGTCTCTGCTAGCGTGTGGCCCTGAGCGCCCCCACCCTGCGGCTCCCCCCTCTGCCCTCAGCCGACCCCACCTCCAGCCCCCTAGTCCTGGCCCCTGGCTCTTGGCAAGGGCAGGGAGCAGCCCCCTGGGGTCCCCGTGAGCCTCTTTAAGGCCCTCTGGCGGGGTCGCTGGCCAAGACCAGGAAGAGACGATGCTTGCCCGTCCCCCCCGGGCCGAGGAAGCCTCGACTCTGGGCCTCATGGGGGGCCTTAGGGGAGCAGAAAGCAGTGGGGGGGACCCTGGGCAGGACTCTGAGTATACCGAGACCCCTCCCTCACTGAGCTCAGGTCTGCGCTCTCTCTCAGGGAGCCTCTCCAATGCCCAGAGGTCTGGGCTCACTGGACCATCAGGGACGGAGTTCCCACGAGTGAGGGGGTGGCGTGGCCTCCCCGGGGACCGTGTCCCACTGAGGTAGTCTGCTGACCTGCTCGGGTCAGCTCAGCCACTGCCCCCAGCTGCCCCCAGGCCTTCAGAGACCTGCATGGATGGTCACATCTGTGTCCCTCACAGTGGTGCTGGGTCCAGGGTAGGACCTGGGCGCTGCAGCCCGGGACAGCTGGCCAGGACTCAGGCGGGCACGGTGTTTAGAAACGCCCGCACGAATGGGCCCAGAGCCCCTTTGCCAAGGCCATGTGAGACCCACGTCTCTATCGCTCTTTGCCAAATGCCTGTTTCACCAGAGGTGCAGGCAGGTGCCCTCCCAGGAGAGGTCGGGTGGCAGGTGACTCAGAGGTGGCGGAACAAGAGGCGTCACCCCAGCCCCAGGGGCACAGAAACCCAGAGAGGGTGTGCGTGCATGTGTGTGTGTGTGTGTGTTGGGGAGGGGGGTTGAGGGGAGAGGCTGTGAGTCCTGCAGCATCTCACGGCGTCTCTATCCGTGGGGCCACATGTCTGGGTCACCGAGCATCTTTGGGGTCCTCTACCCATGGGGCCAGGTGCCCGCCGCCAGATTTGGGTGCAGGGGCTGTGCCAGGGGAAGGGGGCTGGGCTGGGAGGCCCCGGGGCACTCTGGAAGTTTCTGGAAGCCTTCCCGGAGCTCGCCCGGTGCCCCCGACCCCCAAGCTACGGCGTGAGGGCTGGAGAGGGGCGCAGGGCGCCGCGGCCCGGGCAGAGAATCGGGTGATGGAGCGCGGGGGCACCGTGACTCAGCACGCGGGGCGGGCAGGGGCGGGCCGGGGCGGATCATCCGGGCGGGCCCGTCCCTAAAAGGCCCGCGGCCAGCTCCGCTCAGCGCTCTCTGCTAGGCCACCGCCTTCAACGGACCGTCCACGCCGCCGCCAGTGAGTCCGCGCTGCGCGCCGAGGGCCCCAGGAGGGGGTGCGGGCCCGGGGGAGGCTCCCGGGACTCGGGGCTCGTCCGGCCCGCGAGCTTCTGCGGTCCCGGCCCGGGCCGGGGCCCCGGCGAGCCCCTGTCCCGGCCCGCCTGTCTCCCCGCCCGGGATGGGGAGGGGGCGAGACCCACGACTCCCGCTCGCGGCTCCGGGGCTCGGGACACGCGCGCCCGGCGGAGGGGGGGGGCGGGCAGCGCGCGCTCGGGGACTCACCGGCTTCTTTGTCCCGCAGTGCCGCCCTACACCATCGTCTACTTCCCCGTGCGAGGTAGGCCCCGGCACCCCGGGGAGATGTCCCGCGAGGGGTGGCCGCGAGCCCCCAGCGACCCTGCACCCTAAACCAGCTTCCTCCCCCCCCCCTCACCGCCGGCCCTGCCGCCCCAGCGGATGCACGCTGGGATCCTGCACCCCACTGGTCCCCACACGCTCCAGGCTTGCAAGTCCCTGGGCATGCTGGAGCCCGAGTTTCCTGCCCCCACCGCCCTCCAGCAATCTGGAGCCTGGGTCCCACACCCACTGCCTTGTGTCCCTCCCCCGCCCTCCGCGCAGGTCGCTGCGAGGCCATGCGCATGCTGCTAGCTGACCAGGACCAGAGCTGGAAGGAGGAGGTGGTGTCCAGGGAGACCTGGATGCAGGGCTCGCTTAAGGCCTCATGTGTGAGTGAGCGTGGGAGGGGAGGGGCAGGGCGGGGAGGAGGCCGGCCGGCCGGGCGCCCCTCACCCAGCTGTACCCCCCACAGCTCTATGGGCAGCTGCCCAAGTTCCAGGATGGGGACCTCACGCTGTACCAGTCCAACGCCATCCTGCGGCACCTGGGCCGCTCTCTGGGTGAGTCGGGGGCTGGGGGGGTCCCAAGAGTGGGAGGGGCGCCCCCTTCCCCAGAGTCCCCCCGCACCGTCCACCCAGCTGCGGACTCGACCGTGGGCTCGAGTTATGCCGCCTGTCCCCCACCACAGGGCTCTACGGGAAGGATGCACGTGAGGCCGCCCTGGTGGACGTGGCCAACGACGGCGTGGAGGACCTTCGCTGCAAGTACGCCTCCCTCATCTACACCAACTACGTGAGTGACCGGCGGGCGCGGCCTTCCTAGGGCTCCTCAGTTCCAAGCTTTTTTTTTTTTTTTTTGCACACCCGGGGATGCTCAGGGGTTCCTCCTGGCTCTGCACTCAGGAATTACTCCTGGTGGTGCTCGGGGGACCCTATGGGATGCCAGGGATCGAACCCGGGTCGGCCGCGTGCAAGGCAAACGCCCTCCCTGCTGTGCTATCGCTCCAGCCCCCCTCCCAGCTTCTTAATTGGGGGTCATGACCCCCAAGGAGCGGAGCACCTGAGTGTGGGGGTCTTGCAGGAGGAAAAGTTTCTGCTCCAAACCAAGCATGTAGTGATGCCTGGCGCGGCCGGCAGTGAGGCCCAGGGCTGCGTTTTTCCGCTCTTGGGTCGGGTGTGGGATGCATTCAGGACTCGGGGTGGCCGCCTCCAGAGGGGCTCCATGGTGTTGGGGTGGAAACCCGGAGGTCCTAGAGGCTGGGACATTGTCCCTGCCGCTGGGCGGGCCGGGAGGATGAGCGCGGCCTCTTTGGCAGGAGAACGGCAAGGCCGACTACGTGAAGGACCTGCCCGGGCGCCTGAAGCCGTTTGAGACGCTGCTGGCCCAGAACCAGGGTGGCCAAGCCTTCATCGTGGGCGACCAGGTGAGCGCCACCCTGCTGCCCTTTCATTGGGGGGCACAGGCGTCATGGCCAGGGCCCACCCAGGTGCGTGGGGACCTTTGCGACAGGCTTGTGCTCCCCCTGCCTCCTAGTGGGCTGGGGGCCCCTGAGCGGGCTGATTGGGGAGACCCTGGCCCCCCGCACTCCTGCCTATCGCCTCAACCTGACGCCCAGCCCCCCACCCTGCAGATCTCCTTCGCCGACTACAACCTGCTGGACCTGCTGCTGATCCACCAGGTGCTGGCCCCCGGCTGCCTGGACTCACTGCCCCTGCTCTCGGCCTACGTGGCCCGCCTGAGCGCCCGGCCCAAGCTCAAGGCCTTCCTGGCCTCCCCCGAGCACCTCAACCTCCCCATCAACGGCAACGGGAAGCAGTGAGGGGTGAGGGGCCCCTGAGGCAGGGGTGGGCAGCTGCCTGCTCCCCATTTTTCCAATAAAGTTTTCTGAGAAAAAGTGTGCTGTGGGCTGTTGCGTTTCTGGGCAAGGGCCCCGGGGAAGGACGGGACAGCCCCCTAGGACGCCGAAGCAGGAGCTGAGGGCTTGGGGCTGTCTCCAGTCTGCTTCCGGAGTCCCGGCACCTGCAGAGGGAAAAGGCAGAAGGAGCAGGAGAGAAACTGGTCTCGGGGCCAGAGCGATAGCACAGCAGGGAGGGCGTTTACCTTGCACGCAGCTGACCCGGGTTAGAGTCCCAGTATCCCATATGGTCCCCTGAGCACCGCCAGGAGTAATTTCTGAGTGCAGAGCCAGGAGTAACCCCTGTGCAACACCGGGTGTGACCCCCAAAAGAAAAAAAAAAGTAAGAAAGGAACATCTCAGCCCCCGGAGTGCAGAGAAAGAAAAGATTCAGTTATGTAACTGCACCTTCTGGGGTGCAGGCAGCGTGTGGGGAGGGGTTGCCGGTCAGTTCCCCGCTGCCAGGCTGCCCTCCTGGCTTCCTCAGCACCCCCGGGCAGAGGGGCTGATCTCACTGACTCCAACCCCCCAGGGTTCAGATAAAGCCTGGCTAAACTGGGGCATTGGGGTCTAAGCAGGTCACAGGCACTGGAGTGATAACACAGTGGGGAGGGCGCTTGCTGTGCACATGGCCAGCCTGGGGTTCAATCCCCAGCATTAGGTTCCCCCGAGCACTGCCAGGAGCAAATCCTGAGCACAGAGTCGGGAGTAACCTCCGAGCACTGCTGGTGTGCCACAAAAACCAAAGAGGGGAACAAAGCAGGTTGGGGTTCCCCAGCCTGGGGGGAAGGGAGGGAATATGGGAGGCCCCCGGCATGCAGCCTGAGGAGCAGGCAGGCCTCTGCTGTCAGCGTCTAGTCCCAGTCCCGGTGGGCACCCCAGACTCCAGCAGGGAAGCCCCTCAGGAAGAGTCCTGGGGCCCGTGGAGGAGGCGTGAATCCTGGAGGGCAGCTCGCATGTGGCAGCGGCTCATTGGGAAATCTTGTGGTTTTGGGGCCACACCCGGCAGTGCTCAGGGGTTACTCGTGACCCTGCACCCAGGGATAACGCCTGGCAGTGGGCCATATGGGTGCCAAGGATCGAACCCACGTCAGCTGGGTACTAGGCAAGCGCCCTCCCCACTGCACTGTCACTCTGGCCCCTGACCGGGAAGTCTTGCCAGCCCCGTGACCTCGGAGAGACCCTCTCGGGGCCCCTTCCCGGTGTCCAAGCAGGTGTGGTGGGGCGGGGGTGTCTACCTGGAGCCACTCGGGGGACCCTGGCCGTGCTGAGCAGGTGACCGTGGGGCCCTCGGGAGGCCGGGAAAACAGCTCAGAGACAGGACACAGGCGAAGTGCCGGCAGGGGCCAACGGTGACAGTGACTTTCCAGGCTGGAAAGCACCTAGCTGAGTGACCACTGCCCAGCAGACGCCGGCTGCAGGCGTTAGGGACCAGCTCCTCGCCTGCGCATGTCCATCCTGTTGGGCTGTTCCGGAAACTGCACGTGAGCCTGTCCCGAGACCGGCCAGAGCCTGGCGCATGCGCGCTGTAGCCTCAGGAAGATGCGCCCAGGCTGGGCTTTGGGTTTGCCTGGTGTGGGGGCCGGACCTGGGGCTGGGGGCCGTGTGGCACAGGGGCACCAGGCTTTTCCTGAGCAGTAGGGGTTGCAGCAATACTTGGGCCTCTTTGCGAGCCTCCGGCGCTTCTCCCCAGGGCCCGGAGAAGGGAGCAGCTTCCCTGGGCCTAGTGCCGGCTGTGTGCACTGGGAGGTCACTGCACACTTTATCTCACTGTCACTGTCCTCCTGTTGTTCATCGATTTGCTCGAGCAGGCCCAGTAACGTCTCCATCGTGAGACTTGTTACTGTGTTTGGCATATCAAATACATTACGGGTAGCTTGCCAGGCTTTGCCGTGCGGGCAAGATACTCTCGGTAGCTTGCTGGGCTCTCTGAGAGGGGCGGAGGAATCGAACTCGGGTTGGCCATGTTGGCTGCGTGCAAGGCAAACGCCCTACTACTGTGCTATTGGTCCAGCCCATGCCGGCCGGTTAGCTCAGTTGGTTAGAGCGTGGTGCTAATAACGCCAAGGTCGCAGGTTCGATCCCTGTATGGGCCAGTGTGGTTTATTTATTTATTTTATTTTTTATTAGTGAAACACCATGAGGTACAGTGGTAGACTTACAAACTTTCGTGCTTGGGCTTCAGTTATACAATGATCAAGTACCCATCCCTCCACCAGTGCCCATTCTCCACCACCAATGTACCCAGTAGCCCTCCCACCCCACCCCGCCTCTGTGGCAGGGCATTCCCTTTTGCTCACTTTTTCCTTCAGGGTGTTGTAGTTTGTCACTGCACACTTTTGGCCGATTCTGTTCATTAGAAAACGGGGGACCAGAGCCGTAACACAGCAGGAAGAGCGCTTGCCTGGCATGCTGCCAACCCGGGGCTCAATCCCCAGCACCTCGTATGGTCCCCCAAGTCCCGCCAGGAGTAATTCCTGAGCGCATAGCCAGGAGTAACCTCGAAGCATCGCCAGGTGTGGCCTAAAACCAAAAAGTGGGATGTGACCGTTAGAATGTGTGAAAGTTTTTACTTTTTCAATTTTGGAGCCATGCCCGGTTGGCGTCCAGGGGCCACTTCCAGCAGTGCTGGGGACCTTGCAACACTGTGGTGTCACCCGGGCCTCTGGCATGCAGAGCTTGCTTCGTCCATCCAGCTACTTCCCTGGCCTGACACTTTTTTTTTTCATTGTGCTGCTAATTTTTTTTAATTCTATTTTGATTTTTGGTTTGGGGACACACCTGGTGACACTCAGGGGTTACTGCTGACTCTGCCCTCAGCCCCTGTGCTGCTATTTTTAGAATGAGCGTGGCAACTTTGCACTGGCATCTGTAAAATGAGGAAGAATGTTCTGGTTAGCAGGAGGCAGGTGGAGGGGGTGAGCACAGGACAGGGATACCCAGCTTTGCTCTCTGGTCACCATGCAGTGGGGCTGCCGCTCGGTTCCAGAGGGATGACATGGAGCAGTGTCCCACATGGTGATGGTCAGACACTGCTGGCACCTGGGCGTGTTGCCCCACCGTAGCTGCGCTACCTGCTGGTCTGTCACCTCCTGACTCAATCATGCCTCCGAAGGTGACCAGGAAATGAAGCAGGTGATTGAACAATTTGACTTCTGGCCTCTCACGCCTCGGCTGACAGGAGAGGTCAGTTTCCTGGCCGGAACTCTGCCTTATCGATCTCCCCCCTCTGGAACTGTGACCGTTGCCAGCACATCCCGCAGGAAGCAAACAAGTGTCTTGAGCGCTGGGGAGGCAGTTCCTGGCTCGTTCTGAGGGACACTGGTGCTGATCGCAGGTGCCCGAGGGCCAGTCTCGGTGGCTCCTCGGAAAATCAGACAGAATAGGAAAGATCACCAAGAAGGGGAGAAGTAAATTTAATGTAAAAAAAAAAAGAAATCAGCAGGAAACAAAGAAACAGTATTGGAAGAAAGAGAAGAAAGAGGCCCGGAGTGATAATACAGCGGGTAGAGCGTTTGCCTGGCACGTGGCCAACCCAGGTTCAATCTCCAGCATCCCATATGGTCCCCCAAGCACCGCCAGGAGTAATTCCTGAGTGCAGAACCAGGAGTAACCCCTGAGCATCGCTGGGTGGGACCCCCCCAAATCAAGCAAAAAAAAAAGAGAGAGAGCGAGAGAGCGAGAGAGAGAGAGAGAGAGAGAGAGAGAGAGAGAGAAGAAAGAGGTAAAAGGACCAGGAGCAGACACTCTGCCTGTGGGAGCCCAGAATTCACCCCAGCACCCCCTGATACCTGGAACACCGCTGAGAGTGACCCCTAAGTTCTGAGCCAGGGGTCACCCCTAAGCTCTGCCAGTGTGGCCCCGAAACAAAAAGATGAAGGGGAGGGGGTCAGGGAAGGTGCACCAGATCCACAGATGTGGCCCCCCAACACAACAAAATAAGAAAACAAAACAACAATGGGGTTTTCCGGGGTGAGCAAGCTAGGGCCTTTTACTGTTGTTGTTTGGGAGGGGCCCCACCCGACCGTGCTCAGAGCTGACTTCTGACTCTGTGCTCGGGGATCAATCCTGTGCTGGGGTCCAGGGGACCCTCTGGGGCATTGGGGATCAAACCCAAGTTGGCCATTTGCGAGGCAAGCATCAGACCCCTGCACTGTCTCTCAGCCTTTGCGCTGAGACCCGGGGCTGGGGTTTGGACAGCGCTGTTAGCTAAAGGATTAGGAGCTGAAGGAACCAGAAACGTCCGCCAGAGCTGGGGCCTCACACACCCTTATCTCTTGCATAAGTCTTGCCTTAAGGACCGTGTTACTCTGTCCATCACTGACCTCTGGCCTCATCCCTACAAGCTCTTTAACCCAGTGTACGTGAGCCCCCACACCCTCGCTCTCTCTGGAGGGCCGGATGGGCCGAGGGCGCTGAGGCCTGCAGCTCTGGGGTTCCCAGCGTGGCCCAGGCCCAGGTTCGAGTCAGAGTGAAGACTGTGAAAGCAAGCAGAGGGGCTGGAGCGAAAGCATAGCGGGTAGGGTGTTTACCTTGCAAGCAGCCGACCAGGGTTTGATTCCCAGCATCCCATATGGTCCCCTGAGCACCACCAGGGGTAATTCCTCAGTGTAGAGCCAGTAGTAAGCCCTGAGCATCGCCGGGTGTAACCCAAAAACAAAAATATGAAAGAAAGCAGAGCCCAGGAGGAAGCGACCTGCCTCTCTGCGGCTCTGTCCCAACTTCCTCGGTCCCCGTCACTCCTGGGGCACGTCGGGTCCTCGCCAGCTCCAGCGTTTGGGGAGGAGGGTGGGGGGCATTGTTAATCTTTAGATTCTGGGGCTCCAGAATTGGACGCCCCTGCTGGTGCCGTATTGTGGGAAGGTTTGGCCCTTCTAGATGGCAACCAGGGGGTCCTACAGGCACCTACAGGCACAGGGGGCATATAATCACCCCAAGGGAGCAGCTCCCCTGTTCCCCTC